TACATTCATGCTAAGCCATCCAAACACAAAATACAACATTCCCAGTAATCATATTCTCTCGTAATCTTACATTCTCACTGATAATCTTCCATTCCGTGAATCAAACGCACCCTTAAGGTTTCAATTATTAAAAGTTATAAAATAGTCTTCTGATTATAGAATATTACTTTATCAAGTCTCTCGATTATTATAAGTTACAAAATGGTCACCCGACTATTCTTTATGTTCCAAACTCATCATTTTACGTTAAAAATTGGCGATTGTCTAAACTGGACTTTAACATGATGACTGCGATATGATAGTCGTTTGAGATTCTAGGATCATATTTTATCGCATCACAGTAACAAGTTAATGTTCAACTCATAATATCATTAATTTTTTAACAAAAAAATGACAAGTTTGAAACATAATGAATAATCGGATGACCATTTTGTAATTTTTAATAGTCGAGAAACTTAATAAAATAATGCGCTATACTCGGGGACCATCTATGTACTGTACCCTAATATTTGTTTACAAGTTAATTGAACCGTAGCCATACATTATCAGAACTTGTTGCATCATGCAAATGATGGATATGTGGAGTTCATCACATGGGTTCTTAGCTACATCTGAGTGCAGAGAACGGGCACGAAGACTCATATCCATGTGTATCTGCTCCTTCACCGATTTGTCCTTTTCGGGTCAGTTTCCTAAATACATAAACGTATCTCACCTTTTATATTTTATATTATCGGTTCAAATTGTCGATGGCATGTGCACCTCTTTTAGTCTGAATCATCCTCATACGTAAGAAACATGGGTTTTCCGATCTCTTTTTAGTATTGTTTTTTGGCTTTCATGAGTAACAACATACCCGGAGCTAGGGTTGTCAATGCCCATGCCTTCTTGGCTTAATGCCGTTGGACTTAATGTGATAAACACTAAACCCTAACTTCTTCATTTCCTATAGATACGGTCCAATGAAAATATGAGAAGAAACACATGTGGTGTGGGGCTAATACGAGCATTAATCGGATCGAAAAATGATGTATGTGTATCGAATTTAAAATAAATTTAAATTCGTGAATAAACACTCAATCATCCACACCTTTCATGTTATCCAACGAAACTTTTATTACCTTCTGATTCGATATACCATGTAAAATAAAGTTGTCCGATTGAACATATCTTTATCATATTAACCTTAAATTCAATCATTAAACGACCCTTTGCTCGTATTAAGAGACGTTTGTTATAATAATGTAAACAAGGTTCAATGTGTATATGTATAAATAATGTTTGGGAGTGGACCAAACCAACCGGATGAAACAATGATATATATATATATATATATATATATATAATATTGAGGAGAAGAAAGTTCACATAACTCTCTCGTCTGTTGCATGTGCGTTCATGGGGGTGTGGGAGTAAGAGACAGAGGAAAATATATGTCAGAAGGGAGAGCAATAATTAAGAAAAAATATGGACAAAAATTCCTCGTGTAACATGGGCCTATCATTACTTCATATCCGATTTCCACGACCACCTCTCACGTGGGATCATCTTAAATAAACTATTTTTTATTTGTTAATCGATTTAATCTAAATTTAATTTAAACACCCATTCGTTAATATAAACACCATGCGAAATATAACGAGAAGCATGTTCTAGTTAGCTGTGCTTATCAAGCGAGTCAATCACTAGTGGAGCAGTGTTCGATTCGTGTTCGTTAAAAATTTTTGTTGCACGACTCAACTCGTTTCTTGTTAAGCTCGTTAAAACTTTGGTCAGCCCATGCTCATGAAAAAAACTTGTTACTCAACTCATTACTCGTTAAGCTCGTTGCTCGACTCGTTAAGCTCGTTGCTGGTTAAGTTCGTTGCTGGTTAAGTTCACTAAAATAACAATCAACAAATACACCAAACTAATATATTAAAACTAAAGTGACAATCCACAAACACGTCAAGCTAACATATTAAAAATATTCTTAAAAAAAGTTCGATGATAAATAATCAATCCTAAAATTAATGAAATGAGCACCTCTTCACTCCATTCATTATTGTTTGCAATCACCAAATTACAAAAAAAAATTAATGAGTTGTTCGCGAACTTATTGAGTCGAGTTGAAATTTGCTCGCCTTAATTCGTTAAGATCTCGTGTCGAGCTTGAGTTCAAATCAAGTCAACCCGAGTCGAGTATTAATAGAGGTCAACTCATCAAGCACCCCTAGTTCTAGTAATTCTAAAGTGGACCGAAATATAAAAAGTAAATTATAACACATATTCTCAAATTATGTCTCACATTCTAAATTGGTCTCTAAACTTCTTAACATTCCAAATCGATCCTCAAACTATGACCCTCATTCTAAATTAATCTCTGAACTTTTGAAAGTTCCAATAACATCCCCTCGAAATCATTCAAAAGTTTGAGGTTAAAATTAGAATATTCAAAAGTTTAGGGAGTGATATAGAATGAGGGCCACAGTTTGGGGATGAATTTGAAATATTCAAAAGTTCATTGATTAGTTTAGAATGCATGTTATAGTTTGGGATGAAATTGGCATACTCAAAAATCTAAGGATCACTTTTAAATGAGAATCATAGTTTAAGGATATGTGGTACAATGAAATCAAAACTAAATAAGAAGATTAATGTACCTGTCAGATAAGTTATGAAGTTACCAAATAGGGTTGGTTCAAGTGAGAAGTAGTTTGATATTACTTGAGTATGTCTCGAGTTCGAATTCTTGTGTATGCAGAAAATTTTCGTTGGAAGACTCACTTAGAAAACTAAATGTGAGACCTAAATCGATTCAGGAAAGGGAAAAAAATAAGCCATGAGGTTAGGTGCAATCAATCATTAGTGTGAAACTTTTCGTTTAATTCTCTAAAAAAAATTATAAACGAAGATTTTGACAATATCTTTAATCGTTTTTTATGATAAATTTTGATAAGAAACATCATAAATCTCTCATAATTTTAAATTTAATATATAGTTTTTATTATAAACTATTTTGAAAATAATACACGACATTTACATAATTTAGGATTGACATATCCCGATCATTACCAGTTTGAACACCATAAAAAATTAGCTAACTCTATTCCCATATGTAATGGGATAAGGGGGAGGTAGGGTAGTAGGCTGTCCCCAACGCCAGGTTGAGAGCAACTTCCGTGAAAGACCTCCGGTAGTCAGAATTATGAATTGCCCACCATGGGACTCGATACCACGACCACAAGGTTTAGTATCAAAATTATCAATTTTTTAATTAAATTATATGGCTAATCAACTCTCATAATTTTTAATTAAAAAGTTCTTCTTCTCGTCTTCCTGGCTCCGGCTTCCTGTCTCGCAACATGGTATGGACACTGTTTTTCTGCAACCACGTTTCTTTGCTATGCCCTTTTCTTATTATTTTGGGTAAATTACGCGTTTAGTATCAAAATTATCAATTTTGGTTCGTTCTAATATCTAAACTTTTAATTTTTTTTCAAATCATATATGATGTTTAGTTTTTATTTCGTTTTAACATCACGCTGCTAAAAACTTAACGGGTGATTTGCAAGTGATACCTTTTTATGGGTAAATTACATTATTCACCACTCGACTGTCTTCTCACTCCTATTTTAGTAATTAAAGTTTAAATTTTTTAATTTAATTACTTAACTTTCAAATTACTCCTAATTTAATCACTTTAACTTTCAAATTTATTTTTAATTTTTAATTATATATTAATAAAATAATAATAAGAAAAAGTCATATCACAAAAAAATATTAATAAAATAATTAGAGTGATTAAAATAGGAGCAATTTGAAAGTTGAGTAGCTACTTGAATTTTTTTAAAACTTTAGTACCAAAATAGAAGCGATAATATAATTGAGTGATGAATAATGTAATTTACCCATAAAAATGCATAGCTATTAAGTTTTTAAAACGACGTACTAAAATAAAATAAAAACTAAATGTTAGGTATGGTTTTAAATTTTTTAAAATTTAGGTACTACAACGGATCAAAATTGATAGTTTTGGTACTAAATGTGAATTTACCCAATTAATTTTCTCTTATGTTTTGTAACGGAAAATTCACATTTCAGGGCTTTTGATTATGCTTATTTAAATTTGGGTGCAATTTCAAAGCAAGGCTGGGTGCTGCTTATGCCAGCAGGTTAATTCGGTAATAATCTAGTAAGTTAAATAAAATAGGTTAAATAATATAGAAGGTCCTCATAGTTTGTGTTATTGGCAAATCTAGGCATCCTACTTTAATTTGAGTTGTTTATAGGCTATAGCTCATCCACTTGTTTAAATGTGTATTTTCAGTGAGAAAGCCGATTCTTTCATTTAATTATGATAATTTTTCTCTTAATTTATTTCTTTAATATGTCATACTACGAACATTTTAATCCGAATCAATGAAATCCGAGTCCTAAACTCTAATAATTATATATTTTTTAATTCTTTTCGAGCTGAACTTATGAGATTCGAGTCACAAACTAGAAATTGACAAATAAAGTGAGACACAAAACCAAACAAATGAAAAAGGGGTTATTGTGTAATAAAACATAAATATAACCTAAAAATGCGATTAATTATAGTAGCAAAAATGAAACATTAATCTCTTATGTTGTTATATAAGAAAATTTGAAAATGAACAACAATACGCTTAGTGGCGGATCTAGAAATATTTTTGAGGTAGAAACAAATTTGTTAAGGATATAAAATTTTTAACGAGATAGATATAAATAAAATATTTGGGTTGATATCATCAATAAACTAGGTCATAATCGAAGAAATTTTATATTTAAAAGTGGGTATAATAAATTTTCAGGATAAACACTATTAATAAAATAAATATTAATAGAAGAAAATTCGAATTTCAGACCCTTAATGCATCCGCCAGTAGATACGCTGCTATAATCTTCGGCCAGGCTTATAGTTTAGCCGGCGTGAACTCGGTTAAATCCTCACCGTCGAAATCAACATTTCTCTACAATTATTAATCCCTGGTTTCTTAATCTACACCGCCTAATCACATGCATTGTTTTCATTACATAATGTACAAATTTGTGTACCATGAGAACGATCCCACGGGAACCGTCCTTCAATCGATCGCGGGAGCAATCTTTCAACAAGCGTAGAACTCGACGAGCTCCGCCAGAGACTCCGACTGAGGATCACCGTTTTTGAGCATCCAAAGCAAGTGATCGAACAAGACAACCTCGCACGAAACTTTGATAACGGCGTCGGCGTCCTCGCCCGACACTTCCGCGAGTTTGCGGAACAGAGGGTTCTCGAGGACGTCGGAGCTGATGAGGTACTGCTTCTTGGATTTTCCGACGTAGACTGGCTGGAGGTTGACGTCGTCCGATGACGATTCGTAAACATCGGAAGCAGCCACTACGGAGGAAGACGGCGGACGGCTTTGCTTTTGGTTGAATGAGTTTAGCTTCTTGAGAATTGACTTGAGCTTTATCAGCTTGTTGATGCCTTTTGCCATTGGGAGGTATAAGGATTTTTTTGTGAGGAAGCAGGTGCTTTGTGAGCGCTATGCAAAGGGGAAGAAGGTTCGTTTATAAAGGAAGTTGGGAGGGATAAAATTGTCAATTGCATTATAAATGTGATTGTACCATTAGGATAAGATGTGAATAAGCATGGCAACGGGTCTAATTTATAATTTTCTGTTAATATTAAATCTAAATATTAAAATCTCTTTTTAAATTTGATTTTCGGTATTAAACTCTAGGGTTAAAGTACACAAACGATTATCTAACTATAGAATATTATTTTATTAAGTCCCTCAACTATTAAAAGTTATAAAATAGGTTTCTAATTATAGAATATTGCTTTATTAAGTCCCTCAACTATTAAAAGTTATAAATAGTCATCTGACTATTCATTGTGTTCCAAACTAGTCCTTTTCCATTAAACATTGACGGTTGTCTGAGCTGGACGTTAACATGATGACTGAGATATGATAGTCGTTTAAGATTCTAAGATCATATTTTATCATATCACAATCAACAAGTTAAAGTTAAGCTTAGAATATCATCAATTTTTAATAGAAAATGACGAGCTTGGAACATAATGAATAGTCGAGTTACTATTTTGTAACTTTTAATAGTTGAGGTACCCAACAAAGTAACAATCTATAATCGGGGTATCATTTTGTAACTTTTAATAGTCGATGGACTTAATAAAATAATTCCTATAGTCGGGGTCCATGTATACTTTATCCTAAACTCTAACAATACTAAGTAAATTTAATTTTTATTAAATTAAATTAACTGAAAAAAGTTTTTAATACCTTATATATTTTTTACAAAGTTTCATATGTTTTATTTTGACAATTTTTAGTCATTTATTTTTAAAAATATTTTATAATTTTAAGTATTTTAGATATTTTTTTTGAATTTTTATTTTTATATGAAAGGGAAAAAATAATAATATAGTTATTGAAAAAAAATATAAAATAATTATCATCAATTTAATGAGTTTGTCTTTTTTTTCACTTTAATCAATTTGACAAAAATAAAATAAAATTTTAAGAGTTAAATTTGACGGAAAAAGTTGAGGACAAAAATAACTTTTTAAAAGGTTTGAGGGTGAAAATATCATTAACTGTAACACTCCAACCCGTACCCGACCCAGATACGAGTCCGAGATGTCACATTGATATTTCAAAACCTTTATTCTTGCAAAATAACATAATATTTGAACTTATATTAAGAAAATACGATCATATATTGTTCAATTGTGTTTGGTATAAAATTTTGAGATAAAAACGCATTTATGAACAATAATGAACAGTGTCATGAACAGTGCTACAATGCATCGATGCATTGCTACAGTGCATCGATGCATCAAAAATTCGAAGCAAAATTGTGCATCGATGCACTGCTACAGTGATTTTCGTAAAACGTTCATAAAACTCGTAAAAATTTAATTGTTCATTACTATACAATTGTCATTTACATAAACACATTTAAAACATTACAAAACTCAATCGTATGACTTTTCAAAACCGATTAGAACATATTGGATTTAATCCTTTATTTACATGTCAACCACTTTCCTTATTACAAAATACATAATATACATTTCTTTTCTGATCTGATCTTTGGAAAGGATAACTGACCTATCTTGCATAACTCTTATCAATCGTCCTCTTCTCAAAACCTACGCGTGAAACAATCACACGCTAAGTCTACGACTTAGTGAGACATATAAAACATATAATAAAAATCATAAAACATTTCATAAAGAAATACACTTAACGCCATAAACTTCATGTAATACAGTTCATATACCTAAAACATATATGCTTTCATATAACCAATACATGAATCCTGTAATTTATTCCATATAATAAATCACATATGCATATCACCTTCAGTATATTTGTTTAATCTCTTTATTAGCCCATGTACACCAGTGAGAACTTAAGGTATGTGAGTACATTGAGGTTGTGCACTATTATACTGTCACCACAGCTCGTATAATTGTCCCGAAGGACCAATCCATAGGTTCCGAAGAACCTAGGTAATCAGTCCATATGTTCCGAAGAACATAGGTAAACAATCCATATGTCCCGAAGAAAATAGGTAAACAGTCCATATGTCCCGAAGAACATAGGTAAACAATCCATATGTCCCGAAGAACATAGGTAAACAGTCCATATGTCCCGAAGAACATAAGTAAACCTCGACCCTTGGCATGCTAACTATACCCCTAGCTCTCATATCACATAACATGGGCATTATCATTTATAACAGTTCACATTACTTATTCATATCTTTTCTCTTATAAACACATACCATTTTCTTTTTAGTCACGTACCACATGTACGTGTAATCATTGATCTTATAATCACATGTTCATTCTCTTCTGTCACATACCACATGTATGTGTAAACATATATCTAATATCATATAACACATATCATAAATGCATGTATTCACATAGATCATTTCATATGGCTTTTATCATTTCTATATACTAATGCACACATAGTAATCACATAACATTTTATAAGTTACTTCTTACCATAGTAACTCCATCATTGGCTCATCGCAAGCCAATGTTTGATCAATCACATAAGTACAATTTAAATTGCACTCACGTTAGCCTTGCTTTGATTTGATCCTAATTCTTTGATTGTTCTGAAACTTTTTTAGGCTCAATTTCTACATAAGCATAATTTCCGAGACGATTATCAGAAGCCTAAACCTTATAACTTGATGTTAATAACTTAGGCTAATTTAATAAACCAAATTTAAGATTTTCCTTTAAGAGTGTATCGATGCACTATGGGTGCATCGATACACAGAATAGCTTCGAAATATCCATGCATCGATGCACCTACCCAGAAATCACTGTTCATTGCATGAAAATTCACTCTTTCAATTTCAATTCTTCAAGTTTCATTCCCTTTCATATTCTTAACTCAAATATACATGCTTAAACTCATTTATATCTATTTATTTCATCTTAAACTTTAAAATTCTATTCTCCATATAGAAATCAATAATCATACCAAAATTTCCATGTTATTCAAACTTAATTCTAACACTTCTAACTTCTTATTCGCATAGATGACAAGTCAAATTTATCCTCTAAATTCAGTTAAACCTTCTTATTCAAAATTTCACTTAAAACCCCATTTTCTTTAATCTATCATAACTCCTTTATCTTTTGATTTTAAGATAACTTAAGCTTTCCTCAAGCTTAGTTATCATCTAAGGATCAAAACCCAACCTTTAAATTAACAAATAATCAACTAATGAGGAAACTTACCTTTTGCTTGAGCTTTCACGTGGAGAAAAGAAGAAGATGAAGAAGAGAATTGTTTGGAAGCTTATCTCTTCAATCATTCTCCACATGGGTATTATAATACCCATTAATTATTATTTAATTATTTTCCTTGTTCAATTACTCATTTTCCCTTTGACTCCTTTAATATTTACTAACAACTTTCAGGAAATATCTCCACATAAATTATTAAACTATTCAACTATTCTACTTTTATCCTCAAATTCTAAAATTTTACAATTTGATCACTAACCCATAGTTTGAGATGTTACAAATCTCCCATCCTTTTAAGAAAATTCATCCTAGAATTTTCATTACATACATTGATAAGAACATATTTCTTAATGTTCTTATGTTGTCTCCTTTATTTACTCTTTCCTTCCTTTAGTTCTTCAACTAACTTTTTCCTTTATTCATTCATCTACTGTTGTTTATCATATAAACAATAACCATTAACCTCATATATTTTTGTCTTTTTCTCATTCGATTCTGCATTTTTCCTTTATACCTTCATATCATGTCACTTATCACATAAACAGTAACATCCATTTTCATTACTCAATATTATAAATCCATCTCTAATTCCTCATAACAGTAAACAAATTCTTATTCCATCATCATTTGACCAAAATACAACTTTAAATATTCTTCAACTGTGATTAAACATATACTTTATAAAATCAAACAATTTTTTCATCACCTTGCATACTTTTCATTTTTCTATATCGAACTTATCATCTACACTTCCATATAACCTTTATCATAATTAACCCTTTAATTTCCTTTTTTCCATTTAATTTCCTTATCTCTTTACTCCACCATAAATCAAAATCTCCTTGTAACATATATCATATCTTTTCTTCAGACTCTCATACTCTGATCATATCGCTTATACTTATTACTGATTATCGATCTTCATCGCATCTTTGTAACTTTGATAATTCCCTTTATTTATACAAAACCTCTTCCTTTACCATCTCTTGTACTAATAATTTCTTCCTTAATCTTATACAAATACTTATTTCTTTGTCTACATCATATATATATGATCAGAATACACAACCAAATTCAGATTCATCATACTTAATTAACTTAACCTTATATCTTTTCCAAATCTTAATATTCTATCACCTTTACTATTACAATTAATAAACATCAACTGTTCAATCTAGGGCACAAACCCTAATCATCCAATCATATACCTTCTTTTCCGTCGAAATTTTTCTCCACAGTATCATACTCAATTTTTCAAGCTCAAAATTTTATTCACACATAGTACTATTTATCTGTTTCAAAATCAAACGTTGTAACTTCTTTTGTCTTATAAACTGATCACCAATATACTCATTCTTAACCTCTTCTTATCAATCCTCAACTTTACTCAACCATACAAATCTTCACTTCCTTCACTATATCACATTATTAAGATCAAAATATACAATTGTATACAATACATTTTTATCACAAAATCTTGTTAGCCAACGTTAACTCTTTCCTTCTATAATACAAACCCTTATCATATCCGTACTCTTGCTTATACACAGTACTATCATTTTGTTTCAAATTTATAACTTTGATTCATCTTATAAACTTATCACTGATACACTTATTCTTGAACTCTTCTACAATTCTAACCACCTCATTTGATCTTTTAACGTTCTTATGGTGACATTTGTCTACCATATTCTAGCTTGCCCACGTAGTAACGAAACTACTCAATTTAAT